GAGGCTAACAGAAAGGCATGGGATGAAAGCGCAAATAAATTCAGCAATTCTGGAACCTCTACATTTAGGGAATAGGCAATGCGTTCCACCTTATGCATCAATGATAGTGAGTTCCTATGTTGAAAACTCTTTGCAACTATTACAATCAAACTTATTATCTCCATTATTGTCATCTCTGCAGACGCTGTTAGTAGTCACTTTATGCTACTGTTAACGGAGTCAGTAGTCAGGTTATGTCTTGGCCCTACTGGAGTGCTCAGGGATCACTATTGCTTGCATGATTTATATGATACGTGCGTTTGTGGAGCAATAAGAGACAGTGAAGAGTCATCGTATGTAATCGGGGCGGATATATTATCCATTTATACATCAAATGACCGAGAACTCCCGTCTCTTATCATGAAAGACTGTTGCGTTCAGAGTAGACGAGCCGAGGGCGGATGTTGCCTTCCAGTCACGGCAGGTCAGACAGATTACGGACTGGTTACGCATCAAGTAGTCACCAAGCGGTTCAGTTTCGCGCCTAATTCCAGGCCCAAGGTGAGAGAATGTAAGAGAGGAGAGCATGCATATTCAGATCTTATTATCCCATCCTGCCTGCATGCATGCGTACTTCATCGGAATATCTGTCCGCCCGTGGGTACTCCGGAGTAGCTGGACTCGGAGGCAGATCTCATAAGCACTAGTGACAGCGTCAAGCCATGGTCTCAATAAGGCGTGGTAACTAGTGCATGTTTGATCTGCTCAGATGGTTTATTGTCATGCTACCAAGCCATACAGCGTTGTCTACTATCGCTACTACTACTACTACTACTACTACTACTACTACTACCACTATACTAGCCACTGCCTGTGCCGAAACTCGTCACTTTACCACACTTACAACTACTATTATGGTCACAATTGCCAGGCGAGCAAACACACTGGCTCGTGTGTGTTTGGACAGCACACTTTTTGATGTGGCGGTCAGTGGGTTGGTGGGCGGGAATTCGCCCAGACCTTCCTTAACAGGCCTATCAGGCCTTAGTACAGTTTCTGGCGGCTGGACAACATGAGATAACAAATCTCGAACCAAATACATCCCCCGTTCGACTCGAGGCTTAACCGTCTCTCCACATCCTCCCGTCTCCCTTTTGGCTCGACTGGTACTTTACTCTCCCACTCTCATGGAAATAGACTTCCTATTCGGACGTGAGGGTCTCCAGCGCTAATTTGTCTGGCCGTCAAGTCGTCGCAACCGGATGCGTCAACCGGACGCATAATGAACAACTTGAGGCCACCCTCACTGGGTCAACTGATTCTTGCCGTGCATGAGGTCGCTGAGCCGGTAGGACAGTAAAGACTGGTACATTTTGGACAATCCTTCACTACGCATTGGTGATTGTGATTTTCCGCTATTTAGATGATTCCCCCACAAGTTAGACAGAGATTGAACTGGCCAAATTCATACAGAGGGCCAGAAGTCTCTTGATACTGCTGCCATAGCGACTAATCTTTCGGACGTAAGGGCAGATTGAAACTGCCGTTTTAGTATATGACTTTCTTGGCCATTTGTCAAGGTTCTAGAAGGCTTAGCTACTAACGACTTAACATACATGAACTCGAAAATCCACGGCCTCCTGACAAGGGCTTGGCTCAAATTATTATATACAACGAGTAACTAGGTTTCGATTAACCTTCTATGATAATATTGTTTTGGGGACTATCGTGTCGTATGATTGTCCATGATGAAGTGATTCATAGATCAATCCCACCAGAAGGCAACAGCTGATTTCCGCAGTACTGCAGCCGTTTGGCTTTAATACAACGTTCAAGTTGAAGCAGTCTACGAGACATGCATCCTCGTTTCGGGTGAAACTGGTAGAACTTTCTTTCTTCATATGTCGAACATCCTCAAATTAACACTTAGTCAAGAAGACTGACCAACACTTTCTTACATGATATATTTACTTACACCAAGAAACAAAAAAGATAAAGTAATGAAGGACTAGTAGTAGAATTTTCCCACAATGATATGAGTTTGAGCTGACGTTTCCATTGAATTTCACATAGCCTTGTTTTCCCAAAAGTTGTTCTCTTTTGGGAACAAATTTTGGAAACGTCAGCTCAAACTCATATCATTGTGGGAAAATTCTACTACCAGTCCTTCATCCCCTTAGACGAAATAGGGTGAATACATCTCATTACACTGATTTACTGTGTAAATCAGTGTCACATACGAAAAAAGATAAAGATGGATTTGGAAAGTTGGGGCTAATTTTCCTATATTTGAGGTTCTCTGTGTGTATGTATGTTGACGTCTGTACGCAAACCGGCTCAAACTCATAGTGATTAAAAAAACAATACGTCAGATGCAGATAATTAAGGTTTACTGACCCAGATTGCATTAGTCCGTAAGTAACTCTGGTTGAAGTGATCAGGGGCAAGTCCGTTTTCCCCAAACGCCTGCAGAACTATTTGAATCAGCCGTCATCTTCTGGGGAGGTCAACCGTAGAATCTCTTCATCATGCACTTTAATATAAAATGAAATTCTCATAAAATTATTGAAGAGTTTTATTTCGCATAGAAGTGAATGAAGAAGAGAATCGAAGGTCGAGCTCACCAGAAGAGGATAGCTGAATCCCGTTGAACTGCAGCCGTTTGGCTTCAATACGACATTCAGATTGACGGAATCCAATAGACATGCTCCCTCATTTCGGATGCTAACGGGCCAAGCTTTCGTCCACCACATAATAGACATCATCAGAGCTGGAACTCATTCTTATAAAAGTTTCACATTAACATGTAAACGTTCTTGACCTAGTGTTAACATGAAATTCTTACAAAAAGAAGTTCCAGCTCTGATGATGCCCACCATATTGTGGATGAAAGCTCAGCTCGATTTGACCCGAGACGAGGAAGAAGGTCTCGTGGACTGCATCGATCTGGGCATCATATAAAAGCTAAACAGTTGCAGTACAGCAGGATTCAGTCGTCCTCTTCAGGCGAGATCAGCCTTCAAATATCTGCATCAGAAAACTTTTATACAAAATGAAAGTCTTCGCTACAATGTTGTCTTAAGAGATTCATCGAAACCCAGTTATTCTTCATATACAATTATTAGGACACACAAAACTCAAAAATCATCGCGACCGTTCAGAATTGGCCCTTGATTGGTTAGTTTGCAAACTAAGCCCTTGATCTTTATACTACCAAGACTTCTAAACCTAGACGATACAGGTAATTTCATTCGGGTACTTGTTCTGAGGTTAGAGCTAATTTCCAAACACCATGGTCTGAGTTTATCGTCATTTTTCCGCTTGATTTGTGTAGCGACTACCTTCATGGCCCTCGTCCATCACCCATGTGAACGCCTAGAATGCAGCTCTACACATAGGGAGAAACATGATTTTGTGTATAATAAGTAGTTTAGTAAACTATGCATAGATCTTCTGCAAGGACTATGGTCGCCTTATAAAAAACAAATGGATATAAGGTCTTACAATTGACATTTTGCATAATGAATGGATTACAAAGCCTTACGAAATTCCCATAACCTTGAAGACAAAGTAACCCTTAGTTCGTTTGGAGAGGCGAATTAAAAGAATTCCTAATTTGGCCTTACCGAAACCAAGAGGCTTGCCTTGAAGCTGTAAACGTAAATTAATGATAATAAGTCCTCGGCTCACCATCGTTTGACTGATAATCTCGAAACTCTGCTTATAAACGATAAATAATTAAGGTAGTCGATTGTTATAGCAAATAAAACTTTGCTTCATCGACAATCTCAACAAATAATGTAGTATGGTATGCCCGGCCTTCCTTAAATTTCACATCCACTTTGTTACCCAAGGGCATCTTGGCAATGTGGCCGAGTGGTTAACGGGTCAAGCTCCCATTCTACACTGTCACGGTTCGGTGCCCAATGGGGGTGTTGATAAGACCGATGCGAGGTGGAAACTGCGGTCCATCCTGGATGAGGACAACTTTTTGGAAAACAAGGCTATGTGAAATTCAATAGAAACATAAGCTCTACAAATATCATTGTGGGAAAATTCTACTGCCAATACTTCATCACCTAAAACGAAATAGGGTGAACACATCTACTGTATTTTCCGGCGTATAAGATGACTTTTCACACCATAAATTTCTGCTCCCAAGTGGGGGGTCATCTTATACGCCGGAAAATACGGTAATAAAATTTACAATAATTTACCAAGCAAGGAGACAAAAAAGGTCTTGTTTGCACAAATATACAATCACGGCTCAAAACCAACCCTCCTCAACCGGCAAATCCCTTCCACTGACCTCTTAGAACGAAATGGAAGGCCCTTTAACATCCATCTAGTAAAGGATTCCTCGAAAACGAGATTTTTCATATAGTCCCATAGTCTTGTCTACCAGAGGTTTCTCATCTTGGCTGGAGAGTAGTTTCGGCATCGCCCGTGTTTCATAAGCATTCTTGACTAGATATAAGCTCCTACAAAATGTCTTAGTATACTTTTGAAACATATGTATCACCTCCACTAAAAATGTGAACTGAGGAAGACCTGGCTCATCCTAAAAATTACATATGCCCTGTAATCTTTGGAGTTCCAACGCTGCTGACCCAGTTTCGATTTATATTTGGGGCGGTTATGTGACCGAGGCAAGGTCGAAACTGTAGTCTAATTGTAGAAGACAAAGCATTTTTAGGTTGAATTGGGTGAACTTAAACGACACCGTGGCGATTTTTATTTATTTAATTGTAGGAAGCACACCACCTAAGACGACTTTGATGACTCGAATTCTTATGGAATATGATTTGCCCTAGATTAATGTCAAAAGACAAAAAGCAAAACATCACTGTCTCTTCTTTATTCGGTCAAAAACAACAATTTGAATACAAATGAATCGTACCAATGAGAGTAAAAAGGAGGAAATCCTATCGAAACAGGTAAACTTACTTCTAATTACTGTCAATATGGGGCATTTTCGTATGGCTTTGCAGGAGCTGATCAAAGGCTTGGTTTTACATTTAAATCTACTCCCCCTTTAAACCTAAAATACCATTTCCATCCTGGCTGTACTATAGCCTCGAGCCCTTTTTAGAGTCTCCTCAACATGCCAAGCGGTATTCGAGTTGTGAATGTGCGGGTTTACAAGTAAAACATAATTTTAATGCCACACGCCTCTAGCGTCTTTAAATGTACACATTCAGCTCGAGGCGAGGTCGAAACTACAGTTCAGCCTTGATGATTTCGGACTTGTGAGACGCATAGTCCGACTTGAGTCAAGACGAGAGAGGATGTATCGTGGACTTTAGCCAATAGGCTGCAGAACAACAGGAATCGACCGCCCTCTTCCGTTGGAATAAACAATGAAGATCATGCGCTTTCATACAAAATGAAAGTCTTCGCAACAAAGTTACCTGAAGATATTAATCGAAACCAAGCTTATTTTCGTTCCTACAGTGTATATTATTGCGAAACCAAACCTTCTATACTCCTCATATTGGATGTAATTGGTATTTTTTTCTATAATACCATACAAAACTACGAAAAATGACCAAAAATTCTTTATATGTCTGAGATTTATTCACCCTCTTTTATAAGGTGTTGAAGGACCGCTGGTTGAATTTTCCTACAATTATATGAATAGACCTTACGTTTACATTGTATTTCACATAATCTTACATTCAAAAAAGTATTTTTAAAAAGCCAGGAGGCGACTGTATTTTCGACTTAGCCTAGGTTTCATCAGCACCCCCAGAGGGACTCGAACCATGATAGTGGCATGTATAATGTCGGAAAGTTAACCACTAAGACGCGTTGTCACGAATGCCATTAGGGCAGATTTTAATTTCAAGGTAGGCCAGAAATTTTCCCATACTACATCCTGTGGTGGGATTGTTGATGAAGCAAAGTTGTATTCAACTTCAAGTCTTTCATTATCTAGACGAAATAGTGTGAATATATCTCGTATATATGATCTGCCAATAGTCTTGAATATCTGCTTATCATTTAAAAAAGTATTCTCATAATAGCAGAACGAGTGCCTTCAACAAGTTTGGAAATGCCACCTTTAGAATCTGATCGAAACAAGTGTTTGAGATTGCAAAATAAGAAGTTGTTGGTTCTAGTTCGCTTAAGGTTAGTTAAAGACTCGTAGTATAGTTTTCCCACATGATCATATAAAGAGGCCTTAGAATGCCATTTAATTTCATTCAGCCTTACCTACAAAAACGCTATTTCATCCCAACTAGACTGGACCGTTTCTCATCCAACGGGATTTGATATCGGATCATGAGCACTGAATCACACTGGTGGTGAGGATGAGACAACTAGTCAAGGTTGAAACTGCTGTAGAGTCTAGATGAGAGAACCTTTAAAGTGACAAGTCCAGATGAAATTCAATGATATCCTGATGTTTATTCATTTTATTATGGTAAAGCTCAACTATCACTCTAGTTGATGGATTACGAAGAGAAGCGGAGTTTCAATCATTCTGAAGTACATCCGGTATTGCGTCTTCTGATTCACACGTATACAGATGCTAGCACACGGACACGAACACATGGACAAATGCAAATCCCTTCATCATTATTAAATGGAACTAGTCAAATCATTATCTATCCATATATGTATATAATCTTATTGAATTATGAGTATGTAGTATAAAGAGGGATTTATAATCAGTATTTCATGCTTTGATTGAAAAGTCTACAGATGCTAATATGCATACACACATACAAAATCACTCGCAAACCCAATTATAAGTACTTAGCTAGTAAATATGAAGGCCAAGATGATGTTGTCTTCTGGTCTGTCTCAGTCTCCTTTAGTTTTATAGTGTTGGTTCGACCAAGTTGCGAAAACAAGATCAAATCAACATTATAAGTACTTTGATTAGTATGAAAATGAACTAATTGAATTCATCTACTTATTTATCTACATAATTTCAGCCTTAGTTATAGTTTATATGGCGTCCAAGGTAGAGTTGACTAGTCTTATTGTTTTGGTGATAACCTGAAGCGTTTATAATAATGGGTTCCATGTCTAAAGACGTTTGTGAAATGGCATGACGGACGAAAGTTCATCCTGTTTTCACCCTAAGCAAGGAAGGATGTCTCATGAACTGCAGAATAACGGGAGATTATTAGGTCACTCTAAGCAAAAGGCGACTTCTGTTTCCCGTTGCTCTGCAACCATTTGTCTATAATACGGCCTTCAGGCTAATGCATTCACGAAAAATCCAACATCTTTTCGGGTGTAAACAGATGAAGCCTTCGACTGTCATGCCATTTGACATACATTATCAGAGCTGCAATTCATTTTTGCAAAAACTGCAAGTTAGCACTATCCGGCTCTGGCCTGCCTGCTATACACGTATATTAATAACTAAAAACTAAATCTATATAAATATAGACGGATATAGTTTAGTTTAATTTTATACTAATCAAGATATTCATAATTGAGTGTGTGCAATACCGTCTATACCTCAAAATAATGGAAAGTCAGCTTTTCTACATATATTATGACCTTATATTTGGTTTTCATATAATCAGATAAGTAGGCCTCAAGATGCCATCGAATTTCGTCTCGTCTTTCCATTAAAAAAGTTGTATCATTCAGACTCTACGCAGTTTCATCCCCGCCTCGCCTACCTAATCTTCATATATGCGAAGAAAAGTTGGTTTCGATGAACTTTTTGTTTCATATTTGTTGAGCTTACTTGCATTTCGAGTGAAAGAGTTTGATGAAGAGATTCGAAGGTCGATTTCACCATAGAGACGACTGTGGATTCGTATGTGTAAAGTTCTATTCAGGCTGATGAGGGTCACCGAAATGCTTTTCCTCACAGGACGCAAGGAACAAAACGTCTGTTGGGGAGACTTTCATTTCGCATTAAAGTGCATGTGGAAGATATTTTCAAGTTGATCTCACCACAAGACCATGGCTGAAGCCTGTTGTACTGCCTCCGATTGGCTTTAATATGATGTAAAAAGTAAAAGTATACATACATATACTCATTTTAAATTATGAGTATATATAATAGGTAAGATAGAGCCGGACAGTCTTCTTGACCTAGTATTAGCGTGAGACTATTACAATAATGAGTTCCAGCTCTGATGATGTCCATCATATGATGGACAAAGTCCAACCCGTTTGGATTACGTCAACGTGAACGTCGTATTGAAGCCAAACGACTACAGTACAACGGGATTCAGCCACTTTCTTCTGGTGAGATCGACCTTTGAATCTCTTCATCATGCACTTTCATGCGAAATAAAAGTCTCCACAACTATGTTATTTTGGGAGATTCATTGAAACCCAGTTACTCTTGGTATCTACTATTAAAATGTCTGTCAATTGGTTGCCTCTATCTACTGTCAAACCCTGGTTTGGCTGCGTCACTTTCCAGCCCGTGTGCAAAATGTTGCCCATTTTGGGCAACTCTTCGAGCCTGTACATTTCGCTGCTGCAGCTGATTACCTCATTCAGACTCTGAGCCTGCCCCAGTTACCCAGACTTTAGCATACCAAGTCGCCAATCAATCGGCAACCTCGCCCCCCCTTGAAACTGTCTTTTTTTTCCACCTCTCCAACGGTTGGGTAATGATTCGTTTTTTCTCCGCCAGTTAACCGATCTCATTCGGCCTACCCTACAGCCACATTAGCCGCAGAGATACGGGCTGAAATTAGCACTACTCCTCGTCCCGGCACAGGTACCCCAGACAGCCGACTTTATCCCATCCCCCCGAGAACGCATCTTGGCCAAGCTGCAGTGCATCTGTCCCACAGTCTCCAACGTTCTCTTCCCACCCCACCTCCCAGGTCCCATCGCGCATCTTCATTATGCCCCTCACCCCCAACCGTCCGCCTGGTTCACGGCCTAACTGAGCTGGCGAGGTTGGCCCGACAACCAGTTTGCATTTTTAGGCCCGGTTACCGCGATGGACGCAGTGCACGCGTAACCACACTCACTACTTTGTCAACGAATGCGTGTCTCGACCTACCAACTGGGTACGCCCGCCAATGCAACAACAAGAACATGTAGGGCATGTCGACAATGCGAATCACACATGGCCTCATACGAATGGCGAAACTCGGCTGGCGTGTGGTTGGTGGGCCTGTTCAGCTGTCTGTGCCCTCGCCTCCTCCATCGTCCTGCCAACTCACTGGCCCGGCAATTGCAACACACCGTCCGCCACCAGTTGAGCAAGCCCAGACGTCACTGGTACAGGGTGGGCGGCCCTACCAACTGTACTACTAACCGCCACGGGGAAGGTAGGGAGCGACGCTAATTTAACGAGTACTCGCAGGTAGCCGAAAACAGTACGCCGTCGACACAAAATATGTACATTTTTGTGTATGGGTAGATTGTGCTTGAGGCGCCTCTCAGATACATTAAACCGCATATCTGAAGGATGAAATGTTTGGCGCTTAAACGCCAAGACAACCCGAATTACGAAGAGGTTTGTCTGTACCTCGATCTGGCTCCTGCTACTTGCTCAACAAACAATCCGCCCATTTATCTAAGCATCAACAGTCACCCGCACACTCATTATGTGTCCCCATCCACTTCGCGGCCCAACCTCTGTGCATGGGCCTTGGTGATGGCCCAAGTAGCCTTGAGAACTACATGACAATGCAACTGGACTCAGCCAGCATCCCACAATATCCCACATTGTCCCTGTTGCACGCCTGGTCGAAGCCGATCTGACCAACTTGTACATTCTGGTTGAGAGATGGAATTTTTTTTTAATGTCGAAAACCACTGCCTATGTCACCCTAGTTTGGGCTGACACACCCACAGCACTGGCGTCGAGCACGCAAGTATTCGCTTTTGTAGCCTAGGCCACCACTATCTTGAGGCTGGTACCTCTGCCCAGTCGCGGGAACCCCAACATCCGGAGCTGGAATTCACCTTGGCAGTCTAAACTCGGCCTGGG